CACATAACATACATGGATGACTATTTCCTTTCTGCACACTTTAGGTCTCTTACCATACCAGTCATACTTGGGCAGAAAAATGAGGCCACAGGCAACTTTGGCTACAGTTTGAATGGACTGCTCCTTGAATGTTCCAGTTTGAGGAGCCTAATATGCCAATGGAAATTGCTAGTGTCCTGTTGGTGGGCATCTCTGCATGCCAGGGTATTGTGTGCTTAGGAGGCCCTGGATTGAAATTCATCTTTTCTAGGCTACAGGGTCAAGGCTTAGAGCTGTTACCACTTAGGTTTATGTTTGTGTTCATTTCTCACTCATATCAACCTTTACTCCAGTGATTCGGTTTCTCCCAGATCTATTCCACATTCAGTCTATATAGTCAGTATGGGCTTTCTAATGTCTGAGGGGGGCTTTCTGTGCACAACAAAGATCGTTAACAGCTACTTAAGTCTTTAGTTAATGTTCAGTATGCTAGAGGTAACAAATTCAAAAAATCAAATTTTCTTTTACCAGAGATACACACTGAAAAAAATAAAGATGTCCTTAAGTTTTTAGATTCCGTTAGCTCTGTTTGTAAATTTAAAAGAATAAAATAAAATAAAAACTGTAACTCTTGGGGGAACTTTGAAAAACATCTGATTAATTCAAATTGAAGACTAAAGTCCCTTTACTCAACAATTAGTTCCATTTAGAAACACAGTTAAGTACATCCTCTTGAAAACTTAAATTGCATTTATCAATTTGGTATATTTAATTTTTAAAAAGCACTTAGTATGGCTGACTGGGCAGGCTTCAAACCAAATTTTCCAGAGTACTCACCCTGGCTTCATTAGTCATCAAATACATGCCAGGCATTGCTAGCCACTGGAGATACAGCGAGCAAAACAGAACAATGAGCAACAATGAATAAAACAGAAAAATCCCTTGCCTTCATGGAGTTTATATTCTTATAACTCTTAACTTCATTAAACTCTTAAAAACCTAATAAACCAAAGTTTTAAATGAGAATTTCAAAGTCAGAATTCTTATACCTTTGCAACTTAAAATTGTGAGTCTAACATCAATTGTCCATTTCAGTTAGAATCACAAACCAGATGTGTATCTAATTAGTGTCTATAATCGGATGGTCTTTAATCTGATACGTATATACCAACTGTACAAATGATTCTTAAGCCTGATTTAAAAAATACTAATACTGTAAACTTGATTTGCTTTATCATTTCTCCATTTATTTCTAAACTTTCGAGTACTGAATCCTGGGTTATGCAACTGAGCCTCTGTGATGTTCCTAACCCAGTTCACAACCCAGATACATGATCATCTCATGTAGGTTGAGAGACTTGAAACTAGTAGGACTGGGGACCTCCAGGTCACATATGACCGGAGTGAACGTTTCCGTTGAACAGATGGACACACTGAGCCAGATTTTAACAGTGACTAAAATAACAGGATTCCACATCTACTTTCTTCAGACAAGCTTGGTTTCATAATATGCTGTTTGCTAGATTCAAGCCTTAACTTCATCATCTTTTTTGATGTTGTCATCTGATTTGGATGGATAAATTACATAACTATCCCTACCTCTCCTACTTTACTATCTGATTCCATTCAGCTAACCCAAACTATTCTAATTCTTCTGTGTCTGGCCCTTTGGCCTTGCCTCCAAGGATACTCTGTTTATGTGTACTAGAAGATGCCATTCCCCTGCAAGGCCAGCATTCAGAGGTGGCTGAGCGTAGCTCTCCTCCCCACATCTCCATCAACCCACCCCATTTTTTTTTCCCCATGCACACAATGACTATTTTCTCAGTTTTAAGTCAAGGGCAATTCAAGCTTGCTCTCCAGAAAATTCCTGGCTGACCCCTCCCTTTGAACAGATTCTGTCTGTTGAGCCCCTTCTATATAGAAATTCTGAAACTATCATTGCTTCTTTGCTTAAAACCCTTCAGCAATTCACACTGCACTTGGGATAGAATACAAAACCCTTAATGCAAGTCCTTGCATGATCTGGCTCTCGCCTTCCTCCATGACCTCATCAGACGCCTTTCTCTCTTATGCTCCACTTCCAGCCACACTGGCCTTCTTTAACTTCTTCCAACAGAAGCTACCCTTCTTTCCTACCTCAGGTCCTTTGCATGTACTGTTCCCAGTTTCTGAGACACCATTTTTCCCTACTCTTTGCTTGGATGACTCCTCATCCCATAGGTCTCAGATGAACTGTCATTTTTTTCATAGAGGTTATTCTTCTTTGTAGAACGTGGCACACTTTGTGCATTTATTTGCTTACTACCGAGACCTTAAACTGCGTGGAGCCGTGTGTGGTGTTCTGTTTGTCCAGCGCCCATCACAGTGCTGGCATGTTCTAGATAGTCAATAATTCCTTGCTGAATGAGTAAATAAATACCACAGTTGCCACAGCAATCACCATTAGCCTTCAGTCGTAACTTGTAATCATTCATATCACCACTTTTGGCTCATGGGAGGTACTGAGTAATTGTATGTTGAATTGGATTGAGATATCTAAATGTCAATATCTCGTGCATTCATTAATATAATTATTTTATATTACCTCTATGGTTCTTTGCACATTTAGCCTTCTATTGCTTCTAAAGCTGTAGTCTTTCTGTTCTTAGAAGATCTCTTACAGTAAAGAAGACATTTTAGCAAAATGTGCCTTTTGGGGGGACTAACCTTTCCTAATTTTTAAAAAATGTCGCTGACCATTAGCTAATTGTCTTACAGATAGTACTAAATTTTGATTAGTGTAAATATAAGTTCCGTATGATAGTGATTTTGTTTGCTTGTTTGTTTACCCCCCAGCATCCCAAGAGTTGGATTAGTTCCACCGGCCCCAGGTGACAGAGGGCAGCCTTAAGATACTGAATGGAAGCTCTAGTTCTAGATTATCTAATGCTTGTGGTTTAAACCCCGCCCCCTCCGCATAGTTCTTCAAGAACCTTGGGCCCCCTTCTCCCCGCCCCCCCTCCCCGAAAGACTTCAAGCCTCCGAAGAGCACCGAATTGCGCTAGAACTCTTGAGTCTTAACCATTTAGAGCCTGCTGTTTTTCTGGGTTTTGTTTTTTTTGCGGTATCAGCCTGATAAGATCATAGCCCCATAAAGATTTCGCGTATCCTTATCTCTGCACCTTGGCAGCTGTGGCTACGAAACTACAGCATAGAAAAAAAATGATTTTGAACGTTGCATCGTTAGTGATTTTTTAAAAAGCGCAAAAAAAGGTAAAATAAAATACAATGCTGAGAAAGAAAAATCAGTTCTTTTTGTTGTTTATAACGCCCGAGCATTTTTGGAAACCCAAATGGGGGTATGGGCGTTTTGAAAAAACGGCCGCGGCACAGCGTCGTCGGGGTTCGCAGCATTGTGACCGCGCGCCTTTAACTCGGCGTGACCTCGGCGTCCCGGGCCCCGCGCCTCCCTCCCCTCCCGCGTCGCGCGCATTGTTGTCCTTTAGCGATTGGTTGCTGGACCCGAAGCCGCTGTGCAGAGCCGTGCTGTGTAAAGGACCTGAATGCAAGTTAGCGGGCGGCTGGTGACTTACACGGGGCATCCAGGGCGAGAGAGGAAGAGCCGGAGGCCACCACCACTGCACTTCCCAGGCGGCGTGGACCAGGCGCCCCGGCGTTTGCGGCTGTCGCAGGAGCCCCCGGTGGCGCCCCCTGCTCCGGCTCTCGCCGACTTCGGGGTTGGCGCAGGTGGGCAAGACAGGGCACCGCCGACCTCGCGGTTCCCACCGAGGGGATTCTGTCTCTCCCTCTGCGAGGGGGAGGGAGCATCCTAAAAATATGTAAATATCGAAGCGCTGACTTTGGCCTGGGACACCAGCCAAGGTCCCCGCGCCGCCGCAGGGTGTTTTACATGAAAAAGAGAAGCCTGTCAGGATCTGTGCTCTAACTTAAGGCAGCGCGGTGATTAGCATGAGCCTGGGCGGCTGCCCTGCTTCCTGCCCTTCAGTAGCCGTTCTGCGCGCTCGCGACCGAGCAGCTGTGCCACCGTGCGGGTGTGGATCGGCAGGCACGGCCTCGTTGGCAGCCATGGCTCCCGACGCCCCCTCGGCCAGTAAGTAGGAGCATGCATGTGTAGGGGGGCACAGGCGTGTCGGCGCGCGAGCGCGCGCGCGCACACACACACACGCGCGCACACACACACACACACACACGCACGCACGCACACCACCCTGAGCCTCGGAAGGAGGAAGATTGACGAGGCGCTGCAGTTGCGAGGACGACTCGGGCTCTTCCTGGATTCCGCAGGAGCCCGCCTGCCGCAGCTGCTGTCTGCAGAGCCTGCTCGGACCCCTGTGCACACGCGCCCCCCATTCGAGCCTCTGTAATGAAGACTGCCTCCCGAGGACTGCCGGAGAGGCAGAGCCAGCCTGCGCCCGCGACTGCGGGCCGCGCGGTCGAAAGGCCCTGGGGGACACGACTTGGACACTGTCAACCCCACGCCTCTCTCTGAGCCGCCGGGTGCGGAGGGTCTTCCGCCGCCCCTCCGGCTTCCCGGGCGCCCGATCCCGGGTCAGCCCCGGAGGCCTCGGCTTCCTCGTTTGTTTGGATCTTTTGTGCCGTGGCTCACAGTTGGCTAAGCACTCCTGCGCTGAATCGGGCCATTGTGTGCGCTCCCATTGCTTTCACGCTGCAAGTCTCGGCGCCCCCACCCCGCCCGCCCCCTCCCCGCCTCCTCCTGGCCGGGGAGCCTGCTAACGTGCCTTTCCCCCCAGGAATCTGGAAGCTATAAGCCGGGCGGATTGCAAATGAAGTGTAATGCATTGTGGGACGTGTGTAAAATCGGAGCCTTCACCGTGGGGGTGTGTGGGGGCGTGGGGAGGGCCGGACCCGCCGCTGGCGGTGTAGACGCCGACGAGGAGGGGCTGGGAAAATGTGCGCAGAGTCCGCCCGGGTCGTGCCCGCCGTAGACGGATGAAGCAGCGCGCTGCGCCCTGGCGCTGAGGCCCCCAGGATCGGGGTGGCAGGTCGCGCTCCCCACCATGAAGAAGACCCGGAGCACAACCTTGCGGCGAGCCTGGCCTAGCTCGGATTTCTCGGACCGGGCCTCGGACCGCATGAGGTCCCGGAGCGAGAAGGACTACCGCCTGCACAAGCGCTTCCCCGCGGCCTTCGCGCCCCAGGCTTCGCGGGGCTACATGACATCAGGTGGGTACCCGCGTTTCTGCCCCCGGGCCGGGTCCGCGGGGCGTGCTCGGTGCGCCGCTGCCGGGGAGGGGGGGTGCGCTTAGGTGGGTGATGGATGCGCTAAGTTATGGGGAAAGCAGGAAAAAATTAGCTCACATCCACCATTTTGTACCTCCGCAAGATCCACAGCAGGCCCTCTCAATATGGGGTTGGAGAGCTATTAGTTAGGTAAAATAAGGGAGGGGGACGTGCCGGGCGTTTTGGCTGCAGGAGACAAATGACTGCAAGCTCCTTGCGCGGCAGCCTCCTGGAGCTTTGTGGAAGAGCCTGCGTCCGGTGCTTCCTGCAGTACCGAGCCGGCTGGCTCCTGCATTGTGGCCAGTTATCCTAGCGGCTATTTAAATAGCCCCCTGTTCTTAAAAGGGAACAGGTTCCATGCACAGTTCTGGATGGTCTGAGTCGGGCAAGAGCCCCACATACATCGCAGGCTCATCCGATGTGCACGCAGAGAACTCTGTTGGAGCTCATTGAATGCATTCTGTGGGGTAATGGTGTGGATGCGGATTGAACGCTCACATGATACCGTGTGGGTTTAACATATGTTGCTTTGAATTAGGTTGTATGGAAAGCATGGAGGCTGTGTTTGCATGTCAGACAGGAAGGACGAACAAAACGGTAAATGGGAACGAAGGCTTCAGAAAAGGGTTCATCATCATAAAACGCAGTGCTGTTAAAAGCATTTCGGAAGGAGCCGGTTCCCTTTGGCAACACAACGGAATGGCTTTGGTTGTGAGTTGGGAACGCAAGGGGTAACATACTGGAGGAAATGCTGAAGGAGGAAAATCCTGGAACTCTTTCCTTGTTTTCTCCTTACTGACTGTTGACCACTTGTATGCGGTGATGTATAAGACATCAATTTTTGTTCGTTTTTCATTTTGAAGGAATTAATTTTCTGCTGAACATAATGTGATGGAAGAGCTGAGTTTATATTTGAAACCACATACTATTCCAAATCGCCCTGAGCCCTGTCTTAACTGGCAAGATTGCTTTAAGCCTGTGGTTGTTGCTCACAGTGTATCTCTACCGTCTTTCCCCTAAAACAGCCCGTTGTTTCTTTTTTTTTTTTTAAACTGGGGCCAGTATCTCATGCTTTAAAAATGCCTTGTGACCACATTTCCATAAATATAAAACCTAAACAAAATAACCATCTTTTTTATTGCAAAATCTGGCGACAGAAGGATGTTGTACAATTTTGGCAATAAGGCTCCCTTGATTCTCTCTTTCATGAAAAGCCAGATTTGCAAAGTGACAAGTACAGTTTATACTTTAGTAATTTCAGTCAATCACTGCTGTGGTTGCTACATTCTTCAAACTTGTGATAGTAAATTTTGAAACACACCTAAGTCGAAATCTAACCTCAAAACACATATGTACATAAACGCATGTCTGTGCCGAGTGTTTTTAGATAATCCCAGGTTTCAAATGCTTGGGTCTGAATGTCTTCATTCCACACTGACTGGTTCCCCTCTTTTTAAATCCCTCTTCAGGTGTTAGGCTAGAGGAGGGCAGGTGGCCATAATTTCTTCGACAAACCTGTGAGATTCTTTAATGATTTCAGGTGTATTCCCCTGGAGCCTGTTTTTATCTGTCTTTGGCATAGCTTCATTATGATCACATTTTCATTATTTGCTAAAGTACTTTGCTACATTGCCAGTTCTGCAAGGTGTTTCTGAGGGCTCAGGGAAGAAACTCTTAATTTTATTTGATTCTCTTTTCTTATTTCATTTCTTGACCTGCAGATGATAAGCTGGTCTTAACAGTGATACTGAAAGACAAATTGTTTCTGGTTGGTGGTTATCTATGCAGATTAATGTTAGGCGCCCACAGAGAAAAGAAACCCAAGAGGTGGGGGAAGAAGAGCTGTGTCATTCATTCAGCATTTTCTGGAGTGTCCCCTAAGAGCAGAGTGCCTTGCTAGATTCTCATGGGGCTACAGGGTTGGATATAATATGGTTTTGCCCAGGGACAGAGGGCTATTATTTATTCATCATTTTAAATGTTAGCTAGAACATGTAATAAAAGCTATTGGTGCTACTGAGAGGCAATAGTAAATATTAAGACAGATACCTACAATGAACGCTGGGAGAATAGATGGGATCACTCATGTGCATCTTTTGTGTGTTTCAGGGGGAGGTAGCTTATCAATTTCCTTTTCAAATATGGCTCTTTTCCAAATCTGAGTCTTGATGGAAATAGACAGTATATGGAAACACGCAGAGATCATTTACAGGAAGTTCTCTTCCTCTTAAGAAATGTAAAGGAGATCCACTTGTATCAAGTTAGTGACTGGATACAAACAGAGCCCTTGTCACATAAAATGGAATAGAAAATGAAGCAGCTAAGAAACACACGAGCCTTTTCATATTCTTTCTGTTTGTCCAGTCATTTGGGATAATGTCGACTGGCATTATCATACTTCGTTTTCAGTAAAAAAGGGTTTTTTTGTTACTGAGTTCAAAGGACAAGATAAGCTACCAAGTTACTCAAGACAAGGAACTTAAAATAACTTCAGTTGAGACTCTTTTTAGAAATCCACACCCTCCCCCCACAAATAGTCCTAAAAAATATGGGGTGGGGGAATCACTTTTTGTTTTTAACTTTAGGAGAGGGGAGAGAGAGACAGAGAGAGAGAGAGAGAGAGAGAGATCCTTGGAAATGTTAATAGCTGTTGTTTGGTCTGGCATAACTGTCAGGCAGTAGATTCTGGAAGTTTAACTCTGTTTATTAAGGCAGAATTGCAGGCGTTCCATAATAGCTTTCTAATGAGACAGCACCATTTCAAACAGCCCTCTCTCCACCAATAAGTAATTACCAGTTTGAAATGTGATTTATAGCAATAGGCTTGACATTTAGCCTGGACTTTTTCATATAGCTTCGGGATAAACGACACTTAAACTCAAGAGGTTCAGATAGGCGCGTATAAAACTTAAAAGAGATCCTGTTGAAGCATAGTTCAATAGAGAATTCTGAAACTTTAAATCTTGAAAACCGTGGCTTTTATGACTGTGTAAGCTCCCAATTCATGCTACCAAATCTAAAATAATCCTAAGAACTCACAGACCTCCTCCTGGCACCCGGCAAGTCCACAGGCCATGGGATGAATCCATTGTTCGTCTTGAATATTAATTTCCCATTGGTAGTTTCTGGGCAAAAGGGGGGGACAATCTTGCCTTTTGTTCAAATCAAGATGAATAACTGAATGTGAATGCATCATCTGAAGAAGAAAAGAGGTTAGATCAAATGGAGGTAGGATCATTCTTCTGCATTTTCTAAAACTAGAAATGACGATAGCAATTGACTAGAGATAAAAGCAAACCCCTCCTCCGCAAAGAGGGAAATATCAGTATAATTCCTAGTACTTTACATATGAAAACATGCTCACAGACCTCCGTGAAATAATTTTCAAGGCGCCAAAGCTTTTGTTGGTGAAACTGTTAGAGCCCCCTGTCTGTTAACTGTGTGACCCGTGACCTCTTCACACCAGTGATGCTACTGAATCCATTTCCTTCATTGCCTTCTCCCCCAGCCCTGGGGATGGGTGCTTCTGGATGTTCTACGTGTAATGCCACCAAGTTTGGGGGCATTCTGTAGATCGGACTTGGAAGGTAGTTTTTCCACGGGAAAGGTTCTCCTGAGCATGTTCATAAAAGGGGTTGCTTAATGTGAGACCCCTCCAAAGTCATGGCACTTTCACACGGATACTTGTCACTTTAAAGAACAGGAAAGCAGACAGTTTTAATACCATGGCTTTAAAGGATTTGAAAAGAAAGATCCATCAAAAAGCCCCAAATTGACGTCTTTTAGGAAAATTTAAATTGGGGTTGTCTGCCCATAGAACTCAGACCATCAGTGGGGAGGAATGACCAGCCCACCACATTGATGAGTATATTAGTTTTCATTTTATAGAAATGAATTCTGGGGCACAGCTGATGGCGTGTCCCAGTTCCTTATGTTCTGTTATTTTAAGAGATGTGAGAGTTTTCTGGGAGTGGAGGATGGACACTCGAGGTTCTAATCTGGGTCTGCCACCAACCAGCTGTGTCCCTGGCGAGTAACATGACCTCCCTTCCCATCTGCAACGGGTCCTTCTGGTCCCTGCTTCCATTACAGAATTGGGCTCCGCGGTGACTCTGTAATGAGCCATCCCAGGACCTGTGAGCACTCACACAGAAATCCTTAGAAATAACCTTTGCCCTTTCTGCCTGTTGGAGTCATGTGCTTCCCCGTATGTGGGGTATGTGGGAACAGTGCTCATTTTGCAGTAGAATCGTACTTTCTGCCATCCCCCAGCATTGCGTTAAATATGCCCAGGGCTTGTCCTGGCAATGAGAGTAACAGGGGTAGGAGATGATGGATGAAGCTATAATCATATGCAAGTTTTAATAAACAGCATCCTGTCACCTCCTTTCCCCTCTTTGCCCCGATCCATTTTTAGCGAGCTCCTCCAACTGTGTTTTAATTTGAAGCTACCTGTGTTGACTCCTTTCATCAGGCCAGTGGAAGTGAGGAATATTACACTTGGTGGTGAATGACTTTATTCTTTATTTCCCAGGAGAACATGAATGCGCTTGCAAAAGGTCACCTCTCTTGGTATTTCAATATCTTTTACACTCTTGTGAACGTTTTTATTTGAAAAAAAGGAATATGAGTATATTGTATAAAATCCTTAGCATTTTTACACCCCGAGAGCAATTCTGACTGAAGTTCCCTATGCCCCAGAGAGTTAGGACAGTTCACACAATAGCATGTTCTGTGGTACATGATTGCTTATGCTGAGTTGCAGTTATAACCAAGAAACAAAATCTGGTTAGATCCTGGCTGGTGGGATAACATGATGACTTTTGGATTTAGGACAGGCTTTTGTAGATCAGTCCTAGAAACTGTGTGGAGTCCCATCTGTAAGGTGTAGAGTAGAGGTTCTTGTAGTTTGTAAGAATGTAAGCTGTAGTCAACTCTAAATT